TAGGTGAACGATAGCCCAATATCATTTTACCTTTTGCCATCTTTCAATATCTGTCAAGATAGTCTTACTTTTTTGTGCTGTAATTTTTGCCACCTGAAATAAATCAACATGATGGAAAATCACAAAGAGAAGAAAGTAAAGATTACGAGCAACAAACTGATGATATCCTGGCATGTGACTAGCAAGTAAGATATTTAAAGAAGGAAAGGATAGAAGAGAGAAAAACAAGAGAACGAAAATTCCAAAGATCCATTTGATTAACACCAAGTTCAGAATAACAGTTTAGAACAATCTACAACCAGACCACGAGTTATGCAACATCCAACTGAAAGTATTATATAATCCAAAATCAGTTTGGATAAGGCATTCCCTTTACCCAAAAGAAAGGGATTAGATGTCATAATAAAATAAAATTGCCATGCTAAGACTTTTTTTTGTCTTCATTTGAAGTTGATATACTTAACATTTACTAAAATTACAAATTGTGCTCATTCTGTTTCTTGTTTAAAAACCTTGTGAACAAAATCATTTATCCCTTTCTAAAAAGTCAACCATCACAATCTAAAATCTTTTACTCAACTATGTTACCTCTTCAACCTTGGACTTTCCCACAACCACCTTATCCTTTGTCCCAGACAAGCCTCTCCTCAGGAGCGAGCCAGTTGTAGCAGCTGCTGATATCAAGCGATCCTGCACAGCATGTCTTGTGGATGGCTGCTGGAGAAGTGCCCACCGACTCTTGACCATTGACCCCACTCGTCCAGCCACTTCAGTCACATTGCTTTTTGTATCCTTGGTGACCTCACCAACAAATGTTCCTGCTGATTCCTTGGCTTCTTTAAGCTTGACTCCTGCATCAAACTCATACATGAACAATCAGAGACCAGAGAGGCTTAATTCAAATAACTTCTCAATAATTGAAAAAAAAAAAAAAGCACACAAAACGAATAAACCTTCTTTAATGAATTACAATAAGCTTATGGAATTAATTTACACAAAAATCTCAGGTACAAACTGTCCAAAAGTTGATAAGAACAAAGGAAATAAGAAAGAGAAGAGTGCAGCAAATTAGAGAATGATACCGGAGGAAGAAAAGAAACCAGCTGCCTTGTCTTGCCACTGGGGTGACATGATCGAAGGCATGGAAGACAGCGGTCAAGAACAAACTCAAAAGTCGTTACTTGATCCTGCACATGAACCCAAAACACGAGTCAACAACGACAATTGACAAATTCTAGTCAGGAACAGGATCCCAGTCCTTCAGAAATAGAATAAAGTTAGTTGACAGCTTTCCGATCATCGATTTCCTCGAAAATCAAACCAATAAAAAAATAATTTTACACGAGAGAAATCACAGCAACAACAACTAGCGTGTGCAGTAAAAGCCAAGGAAGAGAAACGATCGGGCTTCTACGGCTAGTCAGTAGTCTCGAACAACGAAAACGAAAGAAGAGAATCTGATGGAAAAATGAAGGAATTGAAAAACCTACTTGTTACCTGAACAAATTAGAGAGAGAAAGGTGAAAACTTTTTTATGATTTTGCGCCAAAGCTGAAAGAAACAGAGAGAGAAATTGCAGTTCTGAGAAAAGACGGCAGCAGATGACAAGACAGGGATATGGGTATTGGAAGGCGACTGCTCTGACTCAGTCCCAAGATTAACTCACCACCACCAAACTACTTCTCTTTTTCACTCTCTTTTCTTAATCAAATATTCATTCTTTTATAAAAAAAATTAAAATTAATAATATTTTCAGTTACATAGATAAAATAATAATAATAATAATGATAACTATTGTGGCCAGAAAAATATTTTATTTTGAGTTGCGTAAAAAATAATAAATAAGTGTTAGCATGAGCTAAAGTGTAGGAAGAATAACTATAAAGGGCCTGTGTTGTGTTACGTGTCTCTTACCAATAATTTAGGATCTGAAACAAAGATTGCATCATCCCCTTATGCAAAAGAAGATTGACAGAACATAGAACCTCGTATGAATTGCTTCTATAACGTTTGATTCCTCTGAGTTTTTGTTTGAGTTTTGAGAAACACTGCAAGCACAATGGATGCCACTCACTCCATGTTCTGCAACAATGATCTGGTTAACCCCCTAAGCTCAATGGGCATGCAAGTGTCCTGCATTCTTGTCGTGTCACATATCTTCAACGTTGTGTTTAGGACTGTGGGTCAACCTGGACCAATTGCGCAGATTCTGGTAGTAATCAATCACCAAGCACCTTAATTTTGTTGATGAATATTGAACAATGATGTTTTTTTTTTTTTTTCTGTTTGTACGTTGTTTGTAGAGAATTGAGGTTTCACTGCTATTAAGTCTTTTTCGTTGCATTGTCGTTCAACAGGCTGGGTTGGCGCTAGGTCCAATGTCACACATTCCGTATATAAAGGCTACATTTTTTCCTGCTAGCTCAATAAACTACTATGAAGTTGTAAGCTTCTTTTGTCGCATAAACTTCATGTTTTTGTTTGGGTTAGAGATGAATATGCACTACGCAATGCGCAATCTGCGTAGGGTAAACCTTGTAGCTTGTGGTGGTGCCTTGATGGGTGCTGTTTTTGGTCTATCTGTCTCATTTTACTTGCATCAAGAGCTAAACACCCTTGACAATGCCCCTTTGTATTATTTTTCAATGATCATCATGCTAGTGGTGTCATACACAAGCTCCCCTATGGTGATTCGTTTGGCAGCAGAGTTGAGGTTTGCAGCATCAGACGTGGGGCGAACGGCGGTGTCATCTGCGTTGATCACAGAAATGGGGTGCTTGTTGCTCTTCAACGTCATGGTTAACTGGAGAAAAGCAAATCACATTTCTTCTGGTTTCGGTTGCCTTATAATCACTGTCGTGGTGGTTTACCTTAACCGGCACTTGGCAGTTTGGTTAAACGCAAGAAATAGAAACCAGAAGTACCTCAAGGCTCCTGAGTTGTTACTCATTCTGTTCATACTTCTGACTAGCTCAATGATAATAGAGATTTCTGGTTACAACAGTATTATTAGTTGTTTCACCATTGGTTTGTTGTTCCCCAAGGAAGGGAAAACAGCTAGAACATTGCTGCACAAACTTGGTTATTCTATTTACAACTTTGTGCTTCCGGTATATTTTGGCTACTTGGGGTTGCAGTGTGACCTGATAAATGTCTTCAAGAGCTTTCAGCGTGTGGCCAATATGGACATATTGATATTATTGAGCATTGGAAGCAAGCTTGGTGGAACTCTTATAGCTACCCGCTACCTCAAAATTCCCACTAGTGAAGGTATTTTTCTTGGCTTCATATTGAACACTAGAGGTTATGCCGACCTTCTATTCATTGGTGCAGCAGCAAAGCAAGTAATTGTGAGTATATTTCCTGACTTAGTTAAATTATAAACTGTTTGGATAAAAAGATGAAATGAACTGATGTTACGAACTTAAATTTGTAGAAGCTCTTTTCACTCAACAAGCTTAAAAGTTGAGTGTAAGTTGATTTTGGTATATGGAAAAACTCAATGCATTGTACCTCCGTATCTTTTCCTCATCTCAAATTTGCAAACTAATTCAATGGTTCTTGTGTTTGATACACAGACTTTCGATTCGGAAGCGTACAATGTTCTGTTGGTATCAATAGTACTGAACACAATAATATCAGGAGTAGTTGTGGCTTTTCTAGTCAGAGGGGAAGACAAAATGTTTGCAAGCAACTACACTGCAATTGAACCACAACAAATGGAAGATGAGCTCAGAATTCTGGCTTGTGTGTATGACCCTCGTCAGGTATCTGCCATACTTGCCACAGTGCTAGCAATACATGGCTCTGGAGTATCACCATATACCACTTACTTAATGCACCTAATAGAGCTTGTGAAGAAGATCAAGTCCAACTTGTTGTACCATGAGAAAGAAACTGCTGACCTTAGCGACGATGAGGACTATGGGGGCAATGATGTGGTGGAAATCAACAATTCTTTGGATACCTTCACTGCAGAAACAAAGATTCTAGTCCACCAAAGAAGGGCAGTGTCTTCTTTCCCGTCCTTGTATGAAGATGTGTGCAATGAAGCAGAAGATCTCCAAGTGTCAGTTGTGCTACTCCCCTTCCACAAGCACCAACGCATTGATGGGAAATTGGAAAGTGGAAAAGAGGGTATAAGGATCACCAACCAGAAGGTGCTAAGACATGCCCCTTGTTCAGTTGGTATCATAGTGGAAAGAGGCCTTGCAAGGGTACCTGGCTTCTCACAGCTAGTAGCATCTGAAGGCATACAAAACATTGCAACACTTTTCTTCGGTGGCCCTGATGATCGTGAGGCTATTGCATGGAGCCTACGCATTTCAGGAAGTCCACGCGTGAACTTAACGATCATAAGATTTTTGCTGACTTCTTCATCACAGAACGAACAGATAGAGAGTGGACAATCAGAGGAAAAGGAAATTTTGATGTCACTGTCTGGGGAGGAGACTGTGAACGAGATTGACAACACATTCATGGTGGACTTCTACAACAGGTATGTGACTTCAGGCCAAATAGGGTATGTGGAAAAGTTTGTGAAGCATGGAGCAGAAACGGTGGATGCTTTGAAAGAGATAGGGGACATGTATTCTTTGTTTATAGTAGGAAAAGGTGGTAGAGGGCAAAGTTCACTAACAATTGGTATGAGTGACTGGGAAGAATGCCCAGAACTGGGAACTGTTGGTGATGTTTTGGCCTCTTCAGACTTCGACATTCATGGCTCAGTTTTGATTGTTCAGCAACATAGAGATGTCAAGAAAGGCCTATTGCATGATTAGGTAGGTCTCCAAGTGCAATGAAGTTGTACTTGTTCTTGTACTTAGCTTTATGAACATATATATATATATACACACACTGTACATTTGGAACAGTTTTTGCTTTTCGACAATGTACTTAGAGAAGGAAAGGTTCAGAACATTAATTTGTACATGTTAACTTAATTTTGTAGTTATTTTAAAAGGAACATGTTATGTTGGGCCACAACATTCTTGTTTATTTTTCCAAGGATGCAAAAACAAAGAATGCTTATTTAAGTGGAAGGAAAAACCAAAGGAAGGGAAAAGAAGAGATTTTTGGTTTGTTCCCACTGATTCTATATCTTTGAACTTCCCATCTCACAATCGCCGACTCAAATGGAGGCGGAGCCCGCGTCTGGGCCCGGGCCTGAGTTTAACTCGAAGGAGGAAGCTTTCGCATTCTACCAAGCCCACGCGAAATCTGTGGGTTTCTCCGCCATAATCAAAGCCAGCCGCCGATCCCGAATCTCCGGCAACTTCATCGACGCCAAATTCGCCTGCACTCACTACGGTGCCCCACCAAGCCACAAGCCCAAACGGGCCCCTTCCCGGGCCAAAACCGATTGCAAGGCTTCCATGCACGTGAAACGAACACCCCACGGTACATGGATAATCTCTTCTTTCATCAAACACCATAACCACCAAATTTCCCCCATTCACAGTAGCCCTAAACCCAATAATAATGTTAACAACAAGGCAAGTCCCTCAAGGAAACTCAAGGTTAAAAAAACACCGCAATACTTAACTTTCGCCCAAGGTGACCTTCAATTTTTGCTCAACGCTTTCATGTCTATGCAAAATGAAAACCCTAATTTCTTTTTCGCGGTCGATCTTAACGAGGAGCAGCGGTTGAGGAGTGTTTTCTGGGTGGACGCTAAGGCTAGGCTTGATTATAGACACTTCAGTGATGTGGTGCTTTTGGACACCACTCACGTTAAAAACGAGTGTAGATTGCCCTTTGTTCCGTTTGTTGGTGTGAACCACCATCTTCAGTTTTTCTTGCTGGGATTGGCCTTTGTGTCTGATGGGTCTGAATCCACATATGCGTGGCTGATGAGGAATTGGTTGAGGGCAATGGGAGGAGGTGCTCCAAAGGTGATGCTCACTGACCGTGATGAAGTGCTGAAGAGAGCGGTTGCTCAAGTGGTTCCTGAGTCTTGTCATTGCTTTTGTCTGTGGCATGTGTTGAGTAAGGTTCCAGAGAAACTCGGTCGCCGGATTCGTGGGCACGGTGGGGAGTTTATGAGTGGGTTTAGTGAGTGTGTTTTGAGGTCTAGGACAAAGGAGCAGTTTGAGAATAGGTGGGAGGAGATGGTTGAGAGGTTTGACATGGGTGATGAGAGTTGGTTGTGTGAGATTTATGAGGATCGGAAACAGTGGGTACCTGCGTTTATGAATGGCAGGGTTTTAGCAGGAATGTCGACTGTGCAGAGATCAGAAGCCATGAACTGCCTGTTTGATAAATATGTGCAGAGGAAAACTACTATGAAAGAGTTTCTGGAGCAGTACAGAGTGGTGTTGAGGGGTAAGTGTGAGGAGGAAGCCAAGGCTGATTTTGAAACTCTGCGTCGACAGCCAGCGTTGAAGTCCCCATCACCTTTTGGGAAACAAATGGTGGAGTTGTACACCAATGCAGTGTTTAAGAAGTTCCAGGGTGAGGTCTTGGGAGCTGTTGCTTGTCATCCAAGGAAAGAGAGCGAAGATGGGGCAATGAAAATGTTTAAGGTTCAGGATTTCGAGGACAATCAAGATTTTGTTGTGACGTGGAATGAATCGACTTCAGAAGCATCATGCTCTTGCTATTCATTTGAGTTCAATGGCTATCTTTGTAGGCATGTAATGATTGTGCTACAGATTTCTGGTGTACATAGCATCCCACCTCGGTATATATTAAAACGCTGGACAAAAGATGCCAAGAAAAGAGATCTGTCTGTGGCAGATGTCGTTGTCTCTGACTCTAGGGCTGAGCGCTATAATAATTTATGTCAACGAGCTTTTGAGTTGGGTGACGAAGGGTCTTTATCATACGAGACTTACATTGCTGCTGTAAAGGCGTTGGAAGAAGCTTTGAGAAAGTGTGAGAACCTGGATGGTTCAATTCAGAGAGTCAGAGAACCGAATCTTCCATGTTTTGGTTCTCAAGAGGTAAATCTAAGTAATACTGCTGATCATACTAACAAAAATAATGGTACTCTTAGAAAAAGAAAGGTTATTTTGTCATGTCAGACATAATGCTAATGTTACAGACTCCGTTTCCATAACATCAGATAGACTTTGTGTGCCCCTCTTATGTAGTGATGCTTGATAGGTAAGCCCTGAACCAGAGATCATTGCTATGGGAGTCGATTCTAGCTGGCAGCAAATGGTTGGTGCTTCTTGTTTGAAGTACATGTCAGATTCATTACTGATTGTGATATTTCATCATAGAAAAATATCTTGTGGTCTGTATTTGTTATAGGAAAACCCCAATGCACAAGATCAGAATCCGGATGGCTATTTTTCTACTAAGCGGATTGATTTTGGAATGGTAGGTGGTCTCTAAATTTAGAATGTTGAAATTCAATATGATGTAGCAGTTACCCAGTTGTAATCTGCTTCCTGTTACTTCAAAGAATAATTTGCTCTCCTTAATTTGTTGAAGTGCAACCAATTGAATTCAGTAGCTGCTATTCGTAATGATTATTATTGCAACCAGCATGGCATCCAAGACCGGGTAATAAATAGTGCCTACTCTTTGGTTTTTTCTAATATAGTTTGGGGTTTTAGATTTATAACATCTGGTTTTGGGTTGAATCTTGATTTAGGGACAGTTGAACTCAATTGCATCCATCCATGATCCCTGTTACATGGCCCCACAAAGGATGCAACCGATGGTATGGACTCTACTATATTTTTACTGTTGAGTAAATAGTAAATTTTGTCCCTAAAAAGTAAGGAATTCGTTATTTTAGTCCTTGAAAGACTGAATATTCTCATGAGGTCATTGAAAGATCAATGTGTTTGTAATTTGGGTTCGTCTTAACTCAGCACCAACGAAATGGATGTGTAGCATGTTAAGCTCCATATTTGATGCATATATTGAGCAACGCAGCTTCCAACTTCTGCCTATACTCCTTTACCCATTTCATACATTCTGTTCGATTTGCTTCATCCTTCTACTCAATGAAACGCGAAGCTCTTTGTAATGGGGACTTTCAAATTTCATTACAAAGGAATCAGTGAATTATAAAAGTTAAGAAAATGGATTAGAGAGGATCTTCGAAGTACTCAGCGAGCTCTCCTAGCATGGCAGTGTGGACACAGTTTTCACATTTCTTGGTGAATATCATGAATGATCTGCTACCTTTTGTAATTTCACATGATGTTGTTTCAAAGCCACATGTGAATCCAACTTTGCGCTGTATGTATCGCATGCATTTCCGTTAGTGTTAACTGACATAAGGTGAAGTAGGGATGAAAATGACTGATAGATTTATCTTCCTGGGATATCATGAGCAATTTCAGTTTTTTTAAGAACTACAATGAGTGGCTGGCTCTTAATATTTTATGGACTAAATGACTACCTAGTCATTTATTACTCCCTATAGTTTGTGATTTTTGCATCAACGATTAGTATGGAATGAACTATAAGAACCGCTAACCAAGCAAGATTTATCACTCTTGGTGGGATCGGTTTTATGGTTAACTAACATCATCGGATTATAAAAAATGGAAAGAAAAGGAGAAAAGTTATAATTGAAAGATTTTGATGTTAAAATCTTCAACACCTTTATGATTCCTGAAGTTAATCCTGAAATTGTGACATAACCTGTTAATGAATCCTGGCTTCGTCATTCATGTGTGGTAATGGTACTGAATTTGTATGTCTCTTCATAGAAAGAGGAAAATACAAAAATGTCTTATATTTTCTTGGCTGATTTATCTTAGAAATACCTTCATCTTTCCCAAAATTGACATAACCCAAATGTTTAGGAGAGTTTACCAAATATGGTAGTAGAGTTGTCCTCATGATTTATATATTCATTATCTTGTAGGGTCAAGCCCACGGAGGGTCATCCTCACAGCCGCATGGGATGGAGGTAAAGGTAAAACAGCTAAATTCAAGGCACCAGTCTCAGTGAGTTAGGTTATAGGCTGACATTGTGTTTCATACTTGTATATCAGCATGTAAATGTTTCAGTTAACGTTATGTATATATTAGAAAGTCAGAAGTCTTTTTGATGAGCCTTGATTAATTCCTGCCCTTTTAGTAGAGATGTAGGACTTTTGTTTCTTAACTAGTGGAAATGAATCATGCAGTACTATAGCATATCATTCTGGCACTATCCCTTCTATATATTGAAGCAGCTGGTTTCATTTAGTAACAATTTCTTACCTTCATTCACTTGATAAAAAGCAGGCTAGATATTTTTGCTCGAAAAGTGATTTTGGCATTCTAATCCGGTGACAATGGCCAACATAAATGTCGAGAGTTTTGATGAGTCTCTTTCGTCCCTGAAAATGATTCTCTCAAGCTAGAGTTGTAGAAAAGCATAATGGAATTTCTGTAAAACCAACAATGAACAGCGTTATCGTAGCTCATCTACCAAAAATACCACGTCAAACAGTTTAATGATTTTCTTTTTACCATCTAAATAAAGTTTATGTCAAGTACAACATGCGACAGAAGTTGCGAATTCAAGAGTTTCAATATAAACGAACTCGTAAATGGTAATTAGTTTGAGCCCTCGCGATTCCCTCTAGCAATTGTACCATTGAATAAAAGACATAAAAGAAAGCATGAAACAGGTGAGTTCTATCATCTAAAAATTAATTTACCCGACTCTTGGGAAATAAATTTAGCTAAATTATACGCAAATCACACTACTCATAGTATGCAACTTTTTTGAAAAATCATAGAAATGAATAATTTAAAAAAATTACATATATGAATAAATCGTGTCAACAAAGTGATATCCCACTTCAATATTAAAAATGCTTTAAACTCTTGTCATTATTTTGTTTGAAAATAGTTAGTCCAAGCAAATTCTCACCACCCTTGTTCGAAAAAAAAAACAAAACAAAAAATCAAACGATCGATATCAAATGTCATTTTTAAGGTTAATGGGAGCCAGCAATCCAACTCTCTTTCATCTGGTCACTCGTTCTGCACTCTCTTCTACTTCTTCTGCTTCTTCTTCTTCACTCACAATCAAGGCTTCGTTTTCATTATCAACAACAACAGACATGGTGAAAGCAATCAGGGTTCACGAACAGGGAGGCCCTCAGGTAAATATAATGCATAAATTCTCTTTTTTGCTGAATTCGGTGGTGCTAATTGAATTGATGAGTGACATCGCGTCGTCGCAGGTTCTGAAGTGGGAGGAGGTGGAAATCGGAGAGCCCAAAGAAGGGGAGGTTCGCGTCAGGAACAAAGCCGTCGGAGTCAATTTCATCGATGTCTACTTTCGCAAAGGAGTTTACAAAGCCCCCTCTTTTCCCTTCACTCCAGGTTCCTTCTCAATCTTCATTCTCAATAAACAAAGTCAGTTTATTTATTTTCTTCTGTGATGTGGGTTTAGTACGTAGATGTGTGTGTGTGTGTGTGTGTGTGTGTGACACTCTACGTTGTGTTGTGGGTGTCAATATTATCCTTTTCTCGTTATTTTACTGTTTTAATTTGTTTCTTCTTTTATGTGTTTACTGCTAAAAGAATGTGTTAAGAAAGGAGAGACACAAATTCCCAAGGTATCAGGTATTGAATTCGATGCCCCTTTTTACGTGGCAGGTATGGAAGCTGTTGGAGTTGTCACAGCTGTGGGTGCTGGACTCACTGGTAGGCAGGTTGGAGATCTTGTAGCTTATGCAGGTCAACCAATGGGCTCATATGCTGAAGAGCAGATACTTCCTGCAAATAAAGTAGTCCCTGTCCCTTCATCGATTGACCCACATATTGCAGCATCCATCATGCTGAAGGGCATGACAACTCACTTTTTGATTCGCCGCTGTTTTAAGGTCATTTTCTATGATGTTATAGTCCTTGTAGCTGAAGCTATTTTACTTTTATCTATTAGTTTTGTCATCATACTAATCCAGATTCATTAGTATATTTAGCAGATGTTAGTTTAGGACTCAGAATATTAGTCAGTTGTAGTTATTGAGAATCTCTATTAATTAGCTTTTTAATTTAGTTCTTTGTTAGTTCATATACCTAGTCCCTTTTTTTATGAGCTTGGTTGGGCTTACTCGTGGCTTTATGTTCTTTTCGTTCACTAGAACTTGGCACTTTCTAGTGTTGCTCTCCTTCTGTATCTGCTGTTTTCAACTGCGGACTATAGTATATTAACTATGACTTCATGATTTGATTTGTCTATTTTCTCTTAACAGAGTTATTGTACGTATCACTTTACAGGTTGAACCTGGTCATACAATTCTTGTCCATGCAGCAGCTGGTGGAGTTGGATCCTTATTGTGCCAGTGGGCAAATGCTCTTGGTGCAACTGTTATAGGAACTGTGTCAAATAAAGAGAAGGCAGCTCAAGCCAAGGAGGATGGGTGTCATCATGTTATAATCTCTAAAGAAGAGGATTTTGTTGCTCGCGTCAATGAGATTACGTCAGGCAATGGAGTTGAAGTCGTCTATGATTCTGTAGGAAAGGATACCTTTGAGGTAGTACCTATTCTATTCTATACTACATCCAAATTAAATTTCAAAATTAGATACTTGATAATTGAGTGGAAAACTAAAATGATTAAGATTAGATTATATGTTAGTCCTTGTAACATATGTCCTTCTTGGTTTTAATCCCTGCATAAAATTACTATTGGTTTCAATCAGTTTGGCTTTTTGTCTTTGTTTGATATTAATTCCTATAATATCTAGGTCATGCTGAATTAGTCCGAAGTATATGTTGCGTTATATTGATTTAGTCCCTAAAAGAAGACTTCACTTTTTTTTACAAGGATTAATTCAACGTGTATCAAATATTACAGGGAGTACAACCAAATAACGAGGACCAAAAGCAAAATCACTGATTTTTTAGGATAAAAGGGTGTATACCACGAGAACTAAAAAGTTATTAAGCCAAATTGTTCATGCATGGTTGTATCCATTAGAATTTTCTTATTTTCTAATCCTTTACAGGTGATAATAATTTGGTTTGTAGATATGTGATTAGATTTATAATTTATAATTCAGACGAGCCTATGTTAATAACTAATTAGAACTAAACACCAACTAAGTCCTAGATACGATTATTACGGTTCCCCACCTACATATGAACTGATAGATGCTAATGAATTTCTCTACAGTAAACCTTTTACTAATTTAGAATTCATAATGTTGCATTCTATTAGTGTTTGGTTTCTCAATAAGTTTGTGACATGCATTAATAGTGTGAAAGGAGAAATTTGTGTTTCTTCGGAAGGTTACAGTACTTAATATCAATGGTTAAATCCAAGATTTGACAGGCTATGGATTTCAATCTATATAGCTTGAGCCTGAAATCCAAGGATTACTATCGTTAGAAAGCAGCCTTAATTGCTGTCACCCTTAACTGTCTTAGTTGCAGCCTCTTTAGGGACTTGAGATAAATTTATAGTCTGCGAGAGAAGTCAATAACAAGGCATGCATATGCTGAGCTGTGTGATTTGTGCAGGGATCTTTGGCATGCTTGAAGCTTAGGGGCTACATGGTAAGTTTTGGACAGTCATCGGGTTCACCTGATCCAGTCCCGTTATCATCTCTGGCTGCAAAATCCCTGTTCTTGACAAGGCCCAGCCTAATGCAATATGTTGTCACTCGGGATGAGTTATTGGAGGCTGCAGGAGAGTTGTTTGCTAATGTTGCTTCTGGTGTCTTGAAGGTTCGTGTTAATCATACTTACCCATTGTCAGAGGCTGCAAAAGCACACGAAGACTTGGAGAATCGGAAGACTTCAGGATCCATTGTGTTGATACCATGAGACTCTAAGTTGTGTTGTGTATAGGGGTGTTGTACACCAAATCCTTGGGTGATTCATCTTGAAAAGAACTATAGATTATAAATTATATGCTAGCGTGTGTGATTCATCTTGAAAAAAACTATAGATTATGAATTCTGTGCTACTGTGTGTTATCACCACAAGTCGGTGTACTTAAATAGAGTTAATTTCTTTTGATGACTTCTTTGGCTGCACAGTACTCTTCTCATATTATCTTCACTTTTTAACAAGAAAATGATATTTTCCATGTTGAAAAGGGTCACTTGAAAACACCATATAAAAGGACACTTAAAACATGATAAAAATAATCTCTTAACTTTTGTTAAAAAAACTAAAGTTATATTAAAAAAATTGCAGAAACTTAAACCAAAGTTTATGCTTTTTACATTAAAGGAAAAAAGATTATTTAATAAAAATAAATAATCAAATATTGGTCGCAACTTTGATATATTTATCCTTTGTGTACTCTTCGGCCGGGCCACCATAACGAATGGACCACAAACAAATCAAAAGCAAATCATAAAAATTCAGAAAAAGATTAAAACTTGGTATTCCCCCCCCCCCCCCCCCCCCCCCAAGTATTGTTTGACTATAGAACCAAGGCTTGTGGAATCTGTAACATTCATTTGGGTTATACCTTTCGCTTTGAATTTTAGGGATTCCAAAGCAGAGCAGTAGTGTACTAATAAATACATGCAGTTCTTTGTGTCGAAAATCATCGGCAAACTACAAAAACATGGTGAAACTATCAAGAGTTCACCAAAAATCGGTGGCCCTAGGCTCTTTCTTCATTTCTCTGTCACTCTCACTTCTATAATTCAACACTGAATTATGGAATTGACAAGTGGCGTGACAGGTTCTGAAGTGGGAAGATGTGGAAATTGGAGATCCAAAAGAAGGCGAGGTTCGTCTGAGGAACAAAGCTGTCGGGGTTAATTTCATTGATGTCTATTTTCGGACAGGAGTTTATAAAGTCCCTTCTTTACCTTACACTCCAGGTTTCTTTGCTTTACTACTACCAAACTTTTATTAATATTTGTAGTTGTATTGGTTGAAAACAGAGACTTAGTTTACACTTGCTCTCCAAATATTGTAATTGTACTATCCACCTGTGTAATTTGGGTCTCTCAGTTATTCATCACAAATGTGTGGATTTAGTTCCCAGATTTCCATTGAGCTAATTGGTCTACTATGTGTTGCAATTGTGTAATTTTAATCTCTTCAATTGAGATACTTGAATGACCCAATTAGTAGAATTAGAACTTGTAGACTGATCACACACTTGCAACACTTGGAGACCCAATTGGTACAATTAGAACCTGAATGAGTAAAAGGGTAATTAAGCCTAGAAAGGAAAAATAGAATATGAAGCTTTACTCTTTCTAATAATGTGGCATGGTAGGTGTGGAGGGTGTTGGGGTGGTCACTGCTGTGGGTGTTGGAGTCACTGACATACAAGTTGGAGAAACTGTAGCTTATACGTGTCAACCACTGGGCTCATATGCTGAAGAGCACATTCTTCTTGCAAAAGATCTAGTTCCCCTCCCTCCCTCAATTGACCCCATTATCGGGGCATCCATCATGTCCAAGGGCTTGACAACTCGTTATTTGCTTCAACAATGTTTCAAGGTATGTGTATTTCTATGCTTGCTGAAGGATCTCCTATTGTTTTTACCAACATTCATTAGTGTATTTTCTTAGAATGTGGGAGATTGATTCACCATATGCTCACTTCAGTTGTAGACTTCAGTTATTTAGTCCTACTATTTCATATGTATGCCTTCAAACAGTTATAGGTTGACATTATCTTTCATGATGTTTTATTGATTATAGGAATGTCTTCTACTATACTATCTTTCCATCTCAATCTATGTTACCTTTTCCTCATTCATGTTTGTAAATGCTCTGTGTAGCCTTAGTTTCCAAGCTACTCGGTATTCTGGTAACGTGTGTTTTTCTTGGTCACTCCTTGTTATAAAAGAAGATATAGGTTCCTCTAGTGACTCATTGGTAAGAACCTTGAGAGAACCACATGAAAGAATCTATTTGTTGTCGTTAAGAGAGCACAATGGCTTATGAAAACCATGCTAAAATCCTGTACTTCCAATTTGCAACTTAAGTCCCCGTTTAACAAATGGAATTCTATTCAATCATGTCAAAGCCTGAGAAATGTACAAAATGAGATTTCACCTTAAGGAGGAGAACAAAGTGATATTAATTAAGTCAAATGCAGGATTTAATGAACTAAGATATTCCTCACTTAGTGTGAATCTGTGATTGCCTCATTCATGCTTGTGATGTCCCAGGTTCAGCACCAAAAAACATGGTTGCAGCTAGCAAAGATGTGACATTTGCTGTTATCATAGCTGACTAGAACATTAACCAAATATGTTTCATCCTATACTCAATCTGTTTCCTGTAATCTTGCCTCAATATGATGACATACATAGACTAAGATATCTATCATTTTGCAGGTTGAACCTGGTCACACTATTCTTGTACATGCAGCAGCTGGTGGAGTAGGATCCTTATTGTGCCAATGGGCAAATTCTCTTGGTGCAACCGTTATCGGAACTGTATCCAATAAAATGAAGGCAGATCAGGCCAAAGAGGATGGATGTCATCATGTAATAATCTACACAGAAGAAGATTTTGTTGCTCGTGTCAACGAAATTACATCAGGCAATGGAGTTGAAGTAGTCTATGATTCTGTGGGAAAAGATACATTTGAGGTATAACTGTCACATTCTATATTATGCCTAAGTGCAATTTAAAAATCGAATTGTTGAGTGCACGAGTGAAAACAATAATAACAATGTTGTGTCTTCCTTGGTGGTATCCATAAACAGCTTTTTACTTATATTCTGATTCTTGAACCATAATCAGGTGTCCAAAAGAATGTGCTAGATTTATGATTCAGTTGATCCTATGTTGATCAGTACATAGAAAACTAAAACATCAACAAATACCAACCAGATCCTAGATGATGAACACTAAATACCCTAAAGTTCTCAGATAACTGTCTGTCTGTCTGATTACTTACTTTGATTATGACCACACTAACTAACATATGCGAGGTTTCATTTTTAAAAAGTTGGACTTTGGTTCCCTTGGTCTGTTCCATTAATGTTTGTATTCTATCATTTAACAATTTTAGGCATATTATCAGCAAAGCCCTTAACTATGCATGTGCAGGGATCTTTGGCTTGTTTGAAGCTTAGAGGTTACATGGTAAGTTTTGGGCAGTCATCGGGCACACCTGATCCAGTTCCATTATCTTCCCTGGCTACAAAGTCCTTGTTCCTGACAAGACCCACCTTAAAGCATTACAACGTCACTCGGGATGAGCTCTTGGAGGCTGCAGGAGACTTGTTTGCCAAGGTTTCTTCTGGTGTCTTAAAGGTGCGAGTTACTGACACCTATCCCTTGTCTGAGGCAGCAAGAGCACATGAAGACCTGCAGAATCGGAAGACCACAGGATCTGTTGTGTTGCTACCCTAAGGATTCCCCACTTTCATATAGGTCCTAAAATAAACACCAATTTCATGTTTGATTCCTTTGGAGAGGAACTATGGTATTGTAAATACTATGTAAGCCGTGTTGTGTTGTGTTCCGCTGTTCAGTTCTTTGTACTCGTGTGAATTTTGGCCGAATGTGGCATCAGGATAATTTTTTTATTTTGGAAAAGCTGTTTTTTCCTGTTTTTCCATCCATTGAATGTGACATGTAGGTTTGTTTTTGCAGAATTAATGAAACTCAGCTGAACGGTGACATCGTTGTCCTCTGCGTCATGTGACACTGTTGTTCTTTGCAAAACAAAATAAAAAAATTGTAACTTTTTGTCTTTCAAGCCAAATCAATCCAAAAAAAATGTGATTCGATGATTAGATGGTGTAAAGCTAAAGAATTGATTCGGATTTTAAATCATAAACTATTATATATAATGGTGAAGTTCGATACATCTTTGGATCTGAAGTGTACAAAGACAATATAACTGGTTTTGTTGTTTTGTTGTATTGTGGTGGGCGTTTTCTTCCTCACAGACCTCTCTTCTCCGTTTCTGAATCGTGAAAATGCTGAAGGTGCCGGAGCACCAGGTGGCGGGTCACATGGCAAAGAACGGCGTTCTGGGTCCGCTGGTGGACGATTCTGGAAAGTTCTACAAGCCACTGCAGGACAACGACAGGGGCTCCGCCGAGCTCTCCTTCTACAGCTCCCTCGCCGTCCCACCCTCCATCCGCCCCTTCTTCCCGGCATTCTACGGCACCGCCGTCGTCCCCGCCTCCGACGGCTCCGGTCCCCACACCCACCTCCTCCTCCAGGACCTCATCGCCCCCTACACCAAACCCTCCGTCATGGACGTCAAAATCGGCTCCCGGACCTGGCACCTCGGTCACTCCGAAAACTATATCGCAAAATGCCTCGGCAAAGACAGAACCACCTCAACCATCCCCCTCGGCTTCCGACTCACCGGCGTCAAGGACTCCCTCTCCTCCTGGGAACCTTCCAGAACCCTCCTCCAGACTCTCTCCGCCGAGGGCGTCGCCCTGGTCCTCCGCAAATTCGTCTCCTCCTCCAACTCTGACGATTCCCGTTCCGACCCCGATTGCGACTTTGCGGCGGAGGTTTTCGGCGCCGTCTTGGAGCGGTTGGTGGAGCTGAAGGCGTGGTTTGAGGTTCAGACTCTGTATCATTTCTATTCATGTTCTGTTCTGGTGGTGTATGAGAAGGAGAAGGGGAACGCCAAGCCTCTGGTCAAACTCGTTGACTTTGCTCATGTCGTTTCTGGGAATGGTGTGATTGATCATAACTTCTTGGGTGGCCTCTGTTCCTTCATCAACTTCATCAGGAACATCCTTCAAGCTCTGCATCAGTGAGTCCTGCTTCGTTTTTCTCTGTTTTTCTCACAATCTCCTTCAAGATATAATCAGATAATAATCACTCATTTCACTCCATCTGTCATAATCATATCAGACAATTTTGCTTGTATGATCTGGGCTAATTGCCGTTTATGTTCTATTCAATTGTTCAGATTTCCAGGTACTGCAATTTTTTTATGGATTTTATTCTCAGACATATGTAGCTTTGTATACTTTTACCATCTCTAATTCTTATGAACTCATTTCCTAATTGTGTTACTTGTCCAAACCCACAAACAACTAACTGGGTTGTATACAAAGACTCTTCAGAAGCACTGATTGATTTACCATTGAATAAACTTGTTTGATTCCTTTTGCCTTTTCAAAATTTGAACCTGAATTGTTGATATTTGATGCAATATGGATTTCTAAGGCCATGTTCTCTTGTAAGTTATGAAAACTTTCAAGAATATTGCTTTTGAAGATTACTTCTAAATTTATGCTTTTTCTGCTTGCTTTTCAATATTGCAAGTGCATGAATAGTATGATATTTGGGTTGCTCTGTTTGCATCAATGCTTAATGGTCCTGTTAAGTTTTTTATTCCAACCACATACCAGTCATGAGCTTGTTGCTTCTGATGTTACCCTTTTTAGCTTTTGAACAGTGCAAATATCTTTATCTCGTTTACTGTTTAGTTTGCATCTTCTTACTGACATGCAACTTCTAATCTTTCTACTCTTTGACCAAATCCTTCTTCTGACCACACAAAATTTATAATCCTACTTCATCTTTTATCCTCTCAATCAGCTTCTATTTGTCTACTGTTCTTGAATTTTATTCTCTTGGACCAAAATTACATTCATATCTCTCAATGGCATCTTATATCTTTGAGTTTTCCTGGTTTTACTTGGAGTTAAGTTATTTTTAGGCTTAATCATGGAAGATAGGGTTTTGGTTCTTATTTTGTAACATCTCAGTGGTGTTTTAGCTTCTTTTCATTCTACTTATATGGTATAAATGTTCCTTCCCTAAAACTTTCACAATTGAAATCAAGATCATTAAATAAGGGTGAAGGGCCTAGCAGAACAGTTTTCCTCTGTTACAAACATTCATTTTTATACATTTTTTTCTCATGCCATAATTGAGATACTGTTCCTTTCAAAAGGTATATTAGAACATCTTTTACTATATAATAATAAGAAAATGGTTGACCAGTGCTTTAGGGAAATAGTTGAGAAATTAAAGTTGTATAAAGTTTTTATGAATGTGCAGAAATTGGTATTTTGTATTTTTTTTTTTCTGCAGTGTGCTATTGTATTCAATAAACGAAAGTTCCTAATAGAATCTAAATTTTGAAACAGGTATAATAATATTTTAATCAAACATAAACTACTATATTTTATGAAAAGTTTGCTTTTTTTTTTTGGGAAATAAACTTCAGAAGAATCAAACATAAACTACTATATTTTATGCCGATGAGCTTGAACAATATTTTATTAATGAGTTTGGTGTGTGGAGAAAAAATGTAATAAAAATTAAATTAAACCAATAGCTTTCCAATTCTAAAGAATAAGGTCTAAACAATATTTAAAATTTGTAAACATACCACCTACAAACAATTTTGATCAAATTTAAATTACAAATAAATATTTAGGTATATATACTTAACAAAAGGTTAAAAAAACTCTTACAAAATGTTCTTTAAGTATAAAAGCAAATTTAAAAGTTAAAATATTTATAATGTTTAAAATATTACAATAATTATATTCACATGTTTTATACATAACATTGTACAAAAAATTATGAAAATGGTAAAGATCATGAACATTTAATAATTTAATGTTGGAAAAAAATGTGTTAAGTACAAAACTTTACAATTTTATAAATATTTATTTTATCCAGGAAAAGAAAAATTTTATTTTTAATATAAAAAATCATTTATTTTTATTTTAGAAAAAAAAGACAATTTTAATTTATAAAGATGCCCTTTTTGAATTAGGAAAAAGAAATAACTGGAAATATATTTTTTACTTTTTCATGAAAAATAAAAAAATATATATATATTTGTTTTAAAATTTAAAAGATTTTGATAATTTTAATTTAAATAATTTATCCATAGATAACTATTCAAACTTGTGAATGACTAGTAATTAAATATTTATAACCCAAAAATAATAGTAGTTATTCAATTAACGTTCTGATATATGTATATTTTGATAATAAACTTTGCATTCAAAAGATAATTTCAATCTAAAATTGTAAAAGATTTGTGATGGCAAATAAATCTGAGTCAAAACAAATCCATGATGGCATAAATGCATATCACATCAATCAAAATTATTATTTTTAATTACTTATTTTCCTTCTTGGATAGGAAAATGCAAAGTTCAGAATCTTTTAACGATTATTTTACTAAAGGAAAAAGAGAAAAGGAAGAATTTAACGGAAAAAAGTATGCTAATAGCAAAAACGAAAAGGCATTGGAATTTGATTCCAAGAAAAAGTTGTTCATTACTGGATACTGTCCTCTACCAATTGTTGCATGAGAGAAGGAAATATATGAAAGGATAAAAAATTCTAACACTTTACAAAATTTAAGAATTTGTATTAGTAAATATTCTTTATTTTACGAACGTGCTCACTGATAACAAAAAGTAACTGAGTTTTGAAAATTCATATGGTTTTTGTTTCTACTAATCTAAAAATCCTTAGAAAATATATGTAATATACTGATTTAATATAATATTCTAAACAAATACTTGGGAAAAACCTTTTCGTTAAGACTTATTTCTCATAAAATTTTGCAGCTCTTATTTCTCTGTACAAATTACAGTAATCTGTACCGAATAAAAATGAATAATAGCTAGACAATACATTTTAAAAGAATTAGAAAAAGAAATGTCCATGAAAACAGTGACAAGTTTCCCTCTTTCAACCCTATCCATGTATGCTTACTACATTACCCAACTTTTACACATGAATGTTAATTTAACATTTCCCCTAACAATATCATTTCTATGGAAGTCTAGAACTCAATAATCTCATCAAAGTCGTTTGGTTGCTTCATCACATTAATAATATTACAGGAAATAACCATGCAATGATGCCAAAACTCAAATGTTTCTCTCTCTTTACTGGACAGGAATAATTGTAAGATTGTTAGCGGTCAGGGAGTTCATGTTACAATCTACACTATTTCAGAAATATAATGCAACGATACAACTAACAATAAATGGGCAAAATTCCAGATATTGGGGAGTCAAGAACATCACTCCATATGATTTGCATTCCTTCAATTGAAAGGTGGCAGCATAGCAGGATTACTGGGGAGGTGGTGGCGGAGGCATAGACTGAGGGTATGGCATAGGCCGTCCACCCTGATGCTGGGGTGGTGGTGGCGGACGCCAGACAGGTGGTGGCTGACTTCCCATTACTGCTGGTGGTGGAAGAGGCCTGGGAAGAGCTTGTGGAGGTGGTGGCATCTGCTGCATACCAGGGTGTGGTGGCCTGAACTGCTGAATTTGAGGTGGAGGTGGCATAGGCTGTTGCGGATGCCAGGTTGGTTGTCCAGGTACTGGCATAGGCTGGAACGCAGCAGCTTGAGGGGGTGGTGGACGAAGGGCAGGAATCGAACCAGGAGCGACCCCATTAGCAAAGGGACGGGGAGGCACTGGTGCAACCCCATTAGCCTGAGGAACATTGGGAAGTGTCGGAGGTCCACTGGCAAATAAAGTATGGGGCCTGCTCTTCTGTGCAGTTGGATTACTTGCAGCCAAAACTCTTTCTGCACCACGGAAGAAATATATTAGCAGATAGTCAGATACTATAAAAAGGAACAATAGGCATGAATTAATCCATAAAAAAATATAGAAATAGCATCAAGAAAGGTCTTACCTGCCGGGGTACCATGCCGTTCACCCTTAGTGTCTTTCTTATAAGCATATGACACTGTAATTTGACGATTGCAAAGATATTGTCCATTCATCGCCTATGAAATATACAAATATTCAATATCAGTGGCATGGAAATGCTTACACTAATTTCTATATTCTTTTGTTACGTGCGTTTTGGGTACCCAGACAACAAATTGAAATTGAACAATTTTAATACTTTTTTATACTGTTAACAATAAAGAAACTGAGAAGACATATGATAAGTTCCGTGCGTTTAGACCACAACAGAGCTACTCAATTTATTGAGGAGAAAACATAATTACGGAATATTCAACTACTCTATTTTATGCTAATAACGTGAATATAGAATCAATCTAAGTGTCCAAATACCAACAGCTACTATATCTAAGGATTATAGCATATCTCCAAGATTCTAATACTCAACTCAAGCTGAAGCGTAAAGGACATATGTACCGAGCTTATTTCATATGTAGTTAATCCGAGGACCCTCAGTGAATTTCTGCGTCAAAGAAATAATCAACTTCAACAATATGCTTGTTATTAAAGTCTTCAACACAAGACCCCTAAATACTTTTTATGGACGACTTTCTCTCACATTTGGGTATGCTTGGTCTTTCAAATCATATTTTTAACACTCCCCCCCTGGAACATATGTATCATATAAGTCAACCTTTTTACATATGTTATCAACACAAGACCCCTTGAAAGACTAAATAAACATGTCAGCCAGTTGGTTGTTGGAGCTGACAAACTAAATAATGACAGTTCCACACATCAATTTGGTGTAGGCGTGTGAAGATGACATGGTGGCAGTTGACCGTAAGTAAAGCACAAAATGGTTGCCTGAAAAGGACAGCTCCAACCATGGGGTCACGTTATCAGAGGACAGCAACTTCTAAAGAGTAAAAGATCTGTCCAGCTTCAGCTGGATAGCAAAAACTGCTAAGCACAGAAGTTGCCAATGAGCAAAACTCGTTAGAGGGTACAGCGGCCACCAAAGAGCAAACATGCTTAAAAGACACGATGACTACCAGAGAGCAAAACATTATCAAAGGGCACAACAACCATTGGAGAGTAAAACTACTTGTAAAGCACAGCGGAGAGTTTTCCTGAGTCAGAGAGCACCGAAGTTGTCAAATAGCAAAAAGGAAAAACTCAAAGGGAAAACAGAGAGCAAAAAATTACGCTCAAGGAATAGCATCAAAAAAATGCTCGGAGAATGTGACAGTGACCAGGGAGCAAAACTTCTTCAAGAACTGAACGGCTACCAAAGAACGAAATGCTAGGAGAGCCCAACAGG